AATGATTTGCGTGCCGTTCAGTCCCGTGGGTTCGGCACAGACTATCCGCTCCGGGCTTTCGATCCGTAGCGTACAGTTGTGTTGATCGATAAGACACTAAATGTTTCGCAGAAATAGAGTATTGATTCACAATTTGATTGTAAAATAATTAACAATATTATATTATATTGAAATATCTGTTAGTTAAACTTCATCAATCTATTGTATAATACTTAGTAACATATAAAAGCTGCCAAGTTTATCTACCATATTGCAATTAATAATCCATTTTAAATTATACTTTTGATTTATTTGTATATTAAGTTTGATTTAGGTTTTCGGAAGTTTGGATTAATGTTTTATAACTTTATGATGTATTGCTATATTAATAATCTGTGATTTATAGTGTTTTCCAGTACTTTCTAAAATTAAACTAAAAGTGCAGACAAACCTCATATAAATAGTGGACATTACAGTCGCAGACAAATGGATTTCCCTGTAAACTGGCAGTAATGGGTCGATGCTTAAAGTGGTGGTCGTGTTTGACACCACTGTTTGGTGTGACACTAGTGGTCAGACCGTTGCCTAATATATTACTCATGATATCGTATTGAATGGCTTTGAGGCCGCAGTCGTACAACTCGATGGTGTGCAGCAGTGGTAGGCCCACGAAGGCCTGGGAGTCTATATACGCGAGTTTCGGGTTACTGTGGAGCACCAGTGTGTAGAGGTTGGGCAGATCCCAGAAGGCACCCCTGTCTATGAGGGTCAGGTGTGGGCAATGGGTCAGCGTAATGGTGTTGGCCGGCAGGTGCACGAAGTCACCGGTAGACAACTGCTGGAGTGGGTTGTTATCCATGCGAATGGCGACAATGCGTTTGAGGGACTGGAGGGCGATGTTTGGCACCCGAACCAGACTGTTGTTCTCGAGGTGTAGTTCCTCTAACATGTCTAACCCGACGAACGCGTTGTCATTAATGGTGATGATCTTGTTGTGAGATAATTGTAGTTTTTGCAATGTGGTCATCGATGTGAATATGCCCCCGGTCAGGTGGGATATGGAGTTGTGCTCCAGGTTTAAGGTCTGAAAAATTAATTAAATAATGTATTATTGTATCATTAAATCAATGAATTATTTAATGGTGTATTTATTCTACAGATTTTAAAAAGCAATTCAAAAGTTATTTTAAATTTATTGCGATTTTTATGTGACTTTTTCTCTCTCTTTCATAATGTATTTGTGATGAGATTTTGGTTTATTTTTCGAGATTTGTATTGATTCTGAAGCATAGAAACGCTGTCCAACCGTTTAATGCATACATTATTACATTAGTTGTGATCCGACTATTGAGTAGTAGTTGTGGTTTTGTATGTATAAGACATGGCTTTCATTCCTTCCCTACTCTTCCCACTGTCTCTCTGTGTGTCCATACAATTCATAGTATTCTGTCATACATTGGAAGAGAGAGAGAGAGAGAGAGAGAGAGAGAGAGAGAAAGAAACCAAAACAAACTCACTTTCACTAATGATTTGATTTTTTTTGTTTAGGCATTGGATTTGCTTTTTTATATACGAGAGCATAGTTAGAGAGATAGCCTATCCATGAATGACAATCAGCATAACTCTCGGAAAACCACTTATAATATACTCGTTACCCATTTCTGCACAAAATACTAATTTTAATCACGAAATAATCACATATCTATACAGTACATATTAGGGAGTTGTAATAATGTGATGTAATACGGTGGTCATCACAATAATCCAGCTCATATAGCTCAATGAGCGCTCCCTGATATATATATAAGTCAGTGATGGTGTTGGCGATCCCTATGCCCTATCAATCGATTAGATCTCTGGTCAGAGCAGCAAAAACGTACGATTAATCTAATGTCAAACGCGACTTGAAGTGATATTTTCCGTCCACTCAATGCCCTCCACTATCGCTATATGTCTGTCCGTCTGTCTCTCCCATAATATAAATGAATAAAAGTTTTTTCGTTCGGGTAGAAGCTTTAGTCTACCCTTTAAATTATGGCTTAGAAATCAAATTAATAGATAAATAGTAAACTTTTGGTCTTATTGTTTTTTATATGGATTACTCCTACGCTATACTAAACATTGATTGGACACTGGATTTATGTGCAGTCAATGTTCATTAGGATATCTGCTATATATACTGTATATGAAAACATTTTACGTATAATTAAATGGGAATTAATTTTATTTTTTATACATTATAGTTACAGTAAACACATGGATGTAAGATGTCAAATTCTGTATAGCATACACAATACAAACCAAATGTTAGTGTAATGCATACTTTCAAAATGCTTTTTTATAACCAATCATATCCCATATTTAAACTAAACCTTTATAATTAGCTAGATTATACACTTTAATTATTGTAAATTGAAACTACAAGCTAATTTTGTATAACTTTTGTAATTTATATAATTATTGTGTTAATACTTCAACAACAATATCATTAAACATACCTTAAGGTTAGAAATACTTTGAAAGAGTTCCAAATAAATGGATGAAATCTGATTATAAGACAACACCAACTCATTCAGCATTTCGATGCCATCAAAGGTGTGTTCATCCAAATACTTGAGCCCTCCGTCGCTGATGAAGAGGGCCTGTAGGCGCCGTAGGCCTCGAAAAACACCGGCAAATAATTGGCGCAAATTATTATGGGATAAGTCCAACACTTTCAGATGAGACAAGTTGTTGAACACATGGCCTCTTCCCAAATGGTTGAGTCCATTGTACGTGAGATTCAGTTCTTGTAAGTGATGTAACGATACAAATATGTCGGCCGGCAGTGAATCCAATGAGTGGTTGGTTAGTGACAGGGATTCCGTGTCCAGAGGTATGACTTTCGGCAGTGAACCGGACGTACAGTTCACTGTTCGCAGCGGTTCTATGGACTGAGACAACCAGACAAACGATTATTAATTAGGAATACAGAATATTCTGCGGAATTTTGTAATTGAATTTTCTTAAGTTATTTTTTTGTGATTAATATTCCGGTTCTCAAAGTCCTTTAAGTGAAAGCTTTTTTAGCATTTGATAGTAACTTTTGTTTTGATGAAAAAGTTTTTTCCATTTTCATCCATATATCACAAGAATTTAATGAATCGGAAACATATAAATCATAAGTTATTTATTAATACGATTTCAAATGTTAATTAATTAAACGGCTAACTCTTGGCGTTGTATTATAGCAATCATGGACTTCATATATAAATCATACAAAATAATAGACTTCATGTGCAGTGGGAGACACACAATTGTAACGTGTAATTAGTGTCTGACACAAAAAAAATCGTATAAATTCAGCACAAAATCGGAACTAATTTTTAACAATTAGTTACAAATAATTGCAATAAAAACATTAACGACTAAATGGACTGTTGGCGTCAACATTGGGCTCAAAAGGACACAAAAGTCTAAAAACCTAAGTAACCTATAATTTGGCGCTACTATTGTCAGCAGAAAAATGTGTTTTGCATTCAATACAAGAATAGGGACTCCAGTCATGAGAGAGAGAGAGAGAGAGAGAGAGAGAGAGAGAGACTACAGAATTACTGTAAAAGAGAGATATCTGTATTGCACTCATAGTATTTAATCTCTTAACTTAAGGCAATGACTTATTGGCCTATGCTTTACAACAACTGGAATACTATGTATAGCACTATAACACTAACCGATTCTTGAAGTGTCGTTCCTTTACTACTATTGTACTCCACTTTCTCTATGAATGCCTACTATTTGTATTCAGTGGATGGCGTAGGGCATCGGTAGGCTGTAATTAATGGTTGGGCTTACAATACAATGCAAATGTCTAACTAATCAAAACAATGCCCATTTATAACAGATTTGATGTTTAGTTTGTTGGATAATATTGTAGAAACATTTTAAGTTACGGTAAATTAATATATATTTAACTTGGTATAAGTTTTAAAATTTTACTAAATATGAAATATAAATTATAGTTAAAAATTAAAATTAAATTATTGGCACTGTAAAAATTCTCGTTTTACAAAAATTAAATTAAATTTATACATGTATTAAATTTTTAGTTTGGAATTAAATTTATTATAATTTCTGTAAAATACTAATAAAAGTAAAAATTAATAATACATTTTTATTTTATAATTTTATAATAACTATAAATAAATATATTAATATCTATTTTAACCTTTTATATACTTTAAAATAATATAATATAATAGTTTAAATTTTATTAAACAATTTATAAAAAGGTCTAATATTTCTCATATAATTTTATTTTTAATCCTCTCTCTCTCTCTCTCACACACACACAAATTTGTTTTAATTAATTAATTACATAAATAAAAGTTTTGCAATTTGAACATTAAAACATATCCTGCATTTATTTTTTGGTGGTGGCGTAGGGCATCGGTAGGCTGTAATTAATGGTTGGGCTTACAATACAATGCAAATGTCTAACTAATCAAAACAATGCCCATTTATAACAGATTTGATGTTTAGTTTGTTGGATAATATTGTAGAAATATTTTAAGTTACGGTAAATTAATATACCGGATATTTAACTTGGTATAAGTTTTAAAATTTTACTAAATATGAAATATAAATTATAGTTAAAAATTAAAATTAAATTATTGGCACTGTAAAAATTCTCGTTTTAAAAAAAATTACATTTAATTTCTACAAGTATTAAATTTTTAGTTTGGAATTAAATTTATTATCATTTCTGTAAAATACTAATAAAAGTAAAAATTAATAATACATATTTATTTTATAGTTTTATAATAAATAAATATATTAATATCTATTTTAACCTTTTATATACTTTAAAATAATATAATATAATGGTTTAAATTTTATTAAACAATTTATAAAAAGGTCTAATATTTCTCATATAATTTTATTTTTAATCCTCTCTCTCTCTCTCTCTCTCTCTCTCTCTCTCTCTATGTTTTTCTCATTCAAGAAGTTCCTTGCGTTTGGTGTTTGAGTTTTAG